TATATATATATATATATATAATATATATATACCATATATATATATATAATAATATATATACATATATATATATATATATATATATATATATATATATATATATACACAGACACGTAAATGAATGATTTAGGTATAAGCTAATCGGCAGTGTGTTGTTTGAGATACAGTGTGTGTGTGTGTAATTGGTCACATTGCTAGTTCAGTGTTATTCACACTTAAACGCAATCACAGTGCACTTGTAGGCAGGCGAATGTTAAGTCATGTTAGTGAGTTGGCTTCACGCTACTTGACAGTGTCTGGGCTCAGGTGCTACCACCCGTTAAGTATAGTCAACGTGGGCGCGTGTCTTAATTGCCACGGGAACAGGGAGAGAACACACAGTTAGTGTAGAGCATCAATCCTTAAAGCACTACTTTAGAAATTATGATGCTCGAGATGGACGTTGACGTTAGTTGTTGCCGTTCGTGCACAGGCACGGCTACAGAGTACTAGCTAAGGAAATGGCCGCGTGGAGGGTTACCGTGGCAACCATGCAGCGTAGGGGGATGTCACATGCTTCTTACCCAAGTCGTCCGGTATACAGATTAGACAAGAGCATTACAGACCTAGGTGGGTGTGTGGGTGTGTGGGGGAGGGAGGGTGGTTTGTGTGAGCGGAGCTATGTCTCTGTGTGGGGTGTATTTGGGTGGGAGTGTACGTAGATGTGTTCTGTGATTGCGATTGTTGCAGTTGGTGGTGATGTGGTATGAGACATGTCCAAGTATCACTTCATGGTGATTGGATCTCGTAAATAGATATAAGTTAATATTGAATTCACATCTGTATTGTCTGTTTCCCATACATACTCGTACCAATCTCTCGAAGTACTTTCTCGTACTGTGTGTTAAATGTACTGATTCAAGTACAGTTTGGTGCTGGGGTTCTTGAGCTCAGGAGACAGGATGCAGAAAGAAAGTTGCGTGCACATTAACCAAGGCCGAAATTCTTTGACAGTTGTGTGGAGTTTACTTTCTTTACCCACTTCCTTTGCCTATTTACTTCACCTTCTTCCTGTATCATTTCTTCATTTCTACAAACCGGTTACCGATCAGCAACTATAAACACCTGAAGAGCGGTGCCTTATATAAATCATATAAATATAAAAAAATCATATTACAGATCATCCTCATAAGCACCTGAGGCGTGTTGTCTAATATTAATTATATAAATATAAATAAATCATATTACAGATCATTCTCATAAGCACCTGAGGAGTGTTGTCTACATAAATTATACAAATATAAATAAATCATATTGCAGATCATCCTGTGATTCAAATGTGGAACATCCTGAAGAATATGCCTCGCTTTCGTACCATAGGTATGTGCACTCTCAACGGATTCGAGTACTGTGAGTTGGGTATAGTCTTTCGCCTCACAGTCTCGGATAAACCCCTAAAACCCTAAAACCCTAAAACCCTAAACCCCTAATCGATATCTGCTGCACTACCCGCAATCGTGGTGTATTCCAGAACACTTACTGTTCATCGCGACAAGTATAACTTTACGAACAAGTTTGTTTGTTTTAACCGATGTAGGCCGTTTGTTTCGAGAGCCTCCTTGCACTCCATAGAGAACCCGCAGTCTAAATGTGCTGGAAGCTTGTCATTATGCGTGTAAAACTGGAAGTGTAAGCTACACGCACACCCGATTCATACGAACTAATCCACTCAATATGTCTGGTTCGATACCCTCGCATGTTTACTATGGTTGTATATACGTACCATGTGTGTATGTGCGTGTGGTTCATACTGCGTATGCATACTTTTGGAGTGTATGTGTGAAGTAGTCTGCGAGTATATTTGCCTGCGAGTATGTGCGTATGTGTATGCATGGCTAGTGTGGTTGCATGCTGTATATTCATGTCACATGTGTGTGTGCTGCGGCGGTGTACTCATGATTTATGCACATATACGATTGCGTAATATTTATTTATCCCAATGCTCAGCAGATATTGAGGATCCATCAAGCCACGCTGCCACCCCTGGTGCAGTAGCCGGTACACCCACCACAGTACAGCTATCCAGTAGCACATATAAGGTAGGTGTGCCTATGTGCTGAGGTAAGTATACAGCTCTCTCTCTCATTCTCGCATCATTGTGAACATCGCCCGGGATCACGCTATCCCGAAAGACATAGAACAATGTCGGTCAGACGTATAGGAGGCATTGGCACGGTGTATCACACGCACTATGAAGCCTGTAGATGACATCAAGGGACATTTGTTCGAGAGAGTGAATGTGACTGTACAGAGTATTAGATCAATTTTAGTGGGTAATTTAGTGGGTCTATATAGAGTCATAGTCGTACAGAGATGGGAGAGAGTATACTGAACAAGGAGAACCGATACTTACTGAGGTCTACGACTGCACAAAAGCTCAATAAACGTTAACGTACAACCATTCATCGCCCTCTAAAACAATCATGGCGTCTACACGAAGGCAATAAACATGCCCCATTTGAATAGCTATGACGCCATTGAAGCGTCGACAAGGGTATTGTCGGCAGTTGTATATGTGTGTTTGTGTGTGCAAATCGATAGCAACCTGAATATGAAGGGGGAATTGGTAACACTGGCCAATTCTCATAAAAGCACACGCCAGCAAGTACACACATTTGTCAACACTGAGAACAGTGTCATAGCCATGCGTATGCAGTTGCATAATCCCCGTTGCTTTTACGACGTGTCTATCTGTGTAGCAATCCTGATACGTGAGTTATATTCATCTGCGTGTAAATCCTTCATCAGCTACATGTAAATGCATCATATACCACTGGATGCGATCATGCCTGTGTAGCTTTCCCATGTCTTGTGCGTAGGTTTAGATATACTTTATCCATAGACTTTATATTTTATATACTATATCCATAGAGTTTATATTTTGTATACTATACGAGAACTACGGTAAACGCCAAAGTCTTGTGCGAGTGTCGGTAGGTAAGTCTTGGTAGACTGCACACTGGCACTACAAGTTTGCTCGCCCCCCTGACATCTATGACTACCAAGGGACCTGTCAATGTTAGCGGAGCCACCGAATCCTCAGTGCCGCAAGCACTGAATAGTTATGTACCTGAGAGACCAGTCAGGAGGAGACTCGAAGGTAAAAGACAATGGTGTACACGTTCGTTTGTATATTTGTGCTGAGAAGTGTACTTTTTATGTGACAGATGACAGACAAACACGAGTCATGTATATCCGTAGCTGATGCTCTACTACATACCGGGAGTGGACCCAAAAATGTGTGCACACACCCATTCACACAGTTTGGGACAGTTTACCATCACGGTGACTCGGTAGGTAAGACCTGTCCTAACAACAATAAAATCAATATAACAACTTCAGTCGACGACAGCTCATCGGACAGCGATTGGCAATTCGAGACACCACTGCGCGCGTCTCGGGATACAAAAACCCGTTCAAGGTATGTCAGGTGTACCATTCATCAGCCTCGTTCGCCCATGCTTATTCTTTGGGTTCTGGTTGGTGCGTTCAAGGTATGTCAGGTGTACCGTTCATGAGCTTCGTTCGCCTGTACTTATTCTTCGGGTTCTGGTTCGTGCGTTCAAGGTATGTCAGGTGTACCGTTCATCAGCTTCGTTCGCCTGTACGTATTCTTCGGGTTCTGGTTCGTGCGTTCAAGGTATGTCAGGTGAACCGTTCATCAGCTTCGTTCGCCTGTACTTATTCTTCGGGTTCTGGTTCGTGCGTTCAAGGTATGTCAGGTGTACCGTTCATGAGCTTCGTTCGCCTGTACTTATTCTTCGGGTTCTGGTTCGTGGTAAAAATAAGGTCCTTTCCCAGAACCTCGTACCGACTCTGGCGTATATTTGGAGTGGACACCTCAGATTGGTGTGTATACTACCTTAATCTTCCCAGGTGCTTACTACGGTCTTGAGTGATGGGTAATCCTGCCGGGATGCACGTTTCACATACTATTTGTTATGGTTGTGGCCTGTAGCACCCCTTTTCGCCTACCGACACAGTAAGAAAGACGATAAGCGCCAACGTATGCTGTGCGAAGTGTGTCTGTCTGCTACGGCTGCGGATGTGATGACGCTGGAGGATATCTGTGGAGCGCTTAAGAAAGTGTGTGACACGTGCCACAGGTGCGTGCATGTGTACTGCTCATGCTACCCACTCCCGGATGATATGCAGGTACGTACTGAGAGTTTAGGGTTCAAGGTCTGGATAAGTACATCTCTACTTGGTCATGCAGGAGGTGCTTCTAGTTCGCACGGCTTCATTTTATACATAGTCATACATAACGTCTACATGGCCGGCACTTTATTCCTGTGTAGGTATATCTCTACCATGGCGAACCACATCTAGTTCATTCAGATTACATAACGTAAGGTTTGGCTTCACATGCCTGTATTCAATCTACCATGTCATCCAACAGCCCCCTGTTAGCGCGATATATATATATATATATATTTATATATATAAGGCTTGCATTGTGTTGCATTCTCCTACCGTTTAAGTAAATAATCCCTATCTCGTTCATAAGATTATAGTCCAGACAGATTCGTTGGGACACATGTGAGACACATTATACAATACAACTAACTGCAGTTATCCGATGAAATGCCGGCGCGCTTCTGTCAGTTCTGCACACCTCAACGCGTTTACAACCACGAAACCGGCCGCAGTAGCGATAAAGACCACCGCATACTGGATATGCGAGCCACATTGAACGGTGCGTATAGCTGCCCTTTTCATCTGTTTCCTATGACCGTGCGTGGGGGAATGTCTTTGATATGAACGTTTGTCGTTGTTCTACGGACGTTAACGTTTGTTGATGTTTGAATCTGTGAGTTGTACGTCATATAAGGATCCACCGTAGGTAGCCAGCAATACTTCGTTCTTGTTCGGTTTGTTTTGGTGTAATTGTACTGTTGCGGCGAATACGCCTGTCTCATCGTATATCAGTGTGTGTTTGAACATGATATAATCTGTAGATGGTATCAGATTCCCGTCAGTTCGTATAGATGTGCACGAATCTATACGCAGGTTGTTAAGTGAGAATTCGATGTCTGTGTGCTTGCCCATGTGTGCACACAGCAATATGCATCTATCACCATCGCCATCGGCCAGGTCTCACCAGCTATTTAAAGCCACTCCAATCAAAATCATACATTGTTAAAGTCACCACAGTCAGTCTTGGCCCCTACATCCGGCAGCAGATCCAACCACAGCCTCAACTATACCCCTATTGGCTTATGCGTAAAGTCACCATACCGTGACTGTAGTATCACCCCCCCCTACCCCCTAAAGCACTCGTTCTGTATCGCTCTCTCACTCACACTGTGCGTTGGGCCTAGCTTGCGAATAACCAGTGCCAAGCAATCTGAGACCCTGCCGCGGCTTCCTCTTGATACAGCCAGCGGCAACACACAGAATCCAGTTGAGTACTTCTCCACTGAGCACAGCACATGGGTTGAAAAGGCGAGAAGTATCCCGCGCAGACGTGGACGCATTCATGCACAGCTTCCTGTACCACAGAGTGCTGGCACGGTGAGTGGAGTTGTGAGGTGAGGTGAGGTGAGTGGTGTGCACACGCATGGGTCCATTGCGTATAGCGCTGAGAATGGGCTGTCTGGAGCGAAGACCCTCAGCTGTATTCACTACCACAGTTTAGAGTTTTAGGGTTTAGGTTTTAATGAATCGGTTGTCTACCTGTGAATTTATAGGACCGATTACTCAACTGTTAATTCATAACATTATGTCGCAGAGCGCCCCACAACAGATGTGTACGTAATTCGCACAAAAGCCCATATGTTCGCTCGAACATTCGTATATGTACCAGCGACGTGCTTTAACTGTAGTTTGACGTTAATGCCCAAGACAAACGCTGATGCATACTACTATTGTTCTTATACTCGGGATGATGCTTCCGGGATATCACAGAACAAACAGGAGTGGGCTCAGTCTCGTGCATGACGACCGGCCCGTTGAAGTAAGTCTCTCGAGTGGATCAGGTCTATTACTTTGAGCGAGGTCTATTAACTTGAACCAGGCGTAGGGCGTTGCTGGTGTTGTTCACAGCTTGTGTGTACATATACAGATGCACACGTGCACGTGGTCTCAAACACTCGATACGTGGCACGCCTGTGGTACGCCTGTGGTACGCCTGTGGTACGCCAGTGGTACGCCAGTGGTACGCCTGTGATAGGTTTGTGGCATACCTCGCTGGATGGTGAGTCACTGCCGTAGTCGTCCGTTGATTGTGTGAACGTGCGCTCTAATTAGGCCTACTATCTGCCTTGGTGTCTGGAAACGTATATCTCTGTGCCTGTACTGAAAAATTAGGGCGTTTCGGCTGCATGCGTTGTGGTGCGTGAGGAGAGGTCAGTGATAAGAAAGTGCTGCATTCTATTGCTTCTTCAGATCATTGAGAATGGTGTCCCCAGGACGTGCACCATCCGCAGGTATCGTCACCTCAACGGCACATATATCCGAGTCACTCAGGTAGCATGCACTGACCTTTGTTGTTTGCGCAACACGTTCAATTGACAGTACATGTCGTTCTGTATCTTAGTTTGGATGGTTTAAGGTGCAAGTTGATACGCAAGTTATAAATAACTCACTATTGCGATCCAATTCACGCGTAATGTATTGACGTACAGATAATAGGATACTTTTCTAAACGCGGGATTGAATACTTCCATGAACTAGCGAAAGAACTTCTGAAGAATCTGCAGGACAATAGCAACCCACTGAATCTCCAGGTATATAAGTGCATATGTATATGCAGGTATATGAGTGCATATGTATATGCAGGCATATGAGTGCATATGTATATGCAGGCATATGCATATGCAGGTATATGAGTGCATATGTATATCCAGGTATATGAATGCATATATATATCCTGGTATATGAGTGCATATGTACATGCAGGTATATGAGTGCATATGTATATCCAGGTATATGAGTGCATATGTATATGCAGGTATATGAATGCATATGTATATCCAGGTATATGAGTGCATATGTATATGCAGGTATATGAGTGCATATGTATATCCAGGTATATGAATGCTCGTAGTTGGTTTGTCAGTAGGATGATTGATGATTCAGAGGACTTATTCGTGGTTGGCAACGGATTGAACACGTTCGTCGTCAGTCTGGAATTGACCTGTGTCCTACCACTGGGAAGTATTCGGTTTTAGAGTTTTAGAGTTTTAGGGTTTCACGGTTTAGGTTTA